CCCCAAAACCCCAAAACCCCAAAACCCCAAAACCCCAAAACCCCAAAACCCCGGGGACTATTTCAAATATTGAATTCCATAAATTATTTAAGTGGCTTTATAAAAGCGATTATCTTTGCATATGCTTTAATAGAGATTCTCGCTGATTCTTTTGAGAATATTCTGGCACTTAATATACTTCTCTTCTTCACCTTTAACCCTTAAGCCTTTAGAAGCTTGATTTAAAAACTTTTGAGCCTCTTCAAAATCTCCAATTTGGTCAAAAATTATGCCGACAAAGAAAATTGCTTTGGAAAATGTAGGATTTTCAACAACAGGCACATTTTGAATATCGTTGCTGACAGAGGGATCAAAGAATGTCAGCAAGTTTATATAATCATCAAGTCATTTTATCCCTTCTTCTAGATATTTCCCTGATTCAGCGCAGATCTTACCAATCTGGTATAGGAACTTTACATCTGAATTGACAGCAAAGCCTTCAGATGCTCTCTTAATGTAGATCTGAGATTCATCAAGATGAGTATTGTCATTATTTCTGCCAATAAAGCTATCTTTTTGGGACATTGAGCTGAACAGCACTAAAATTAGCCTCTTCGTGCTTACTATTTTTGGAAAACCTGTTGTACTGGCCTTGCATGTTCCCACCAGAGGAATCTCTGTTGCTAGAAACAAGTTAGCAACCCGTATTGGAGAAATAGTCCCCAAGCTCTTTTTACCTTAAGTTCTGATTGTTGGGGTTTTCTGACCGATTCCTGGCCAAGAAGGGATGAATTTCATTCTCGCTGTATTCTGAAAGTCTACTCCTCATATCACTTTTGCTGATCATGCTTGCTAATAATTACAGCACAAGTCTTACTAGTATCGTTATTCTTTGAATGGAACTTCCTGAAGTTGAATCCAAGGAAGCTAGAGTCCATATCGGGGCAATCATGAGATGGCTTCTTAACCTTTCTTTCGTCACTATTCAAGTCGTTCAGCATTTCTTTCTTAATCCGAATCGGGTCCTCAATTGTCAGAAGTGAGGGAAGTGGCAGAGGTGGAAGAGCCTCTCCGATCTTATTTTAATACTTTGATACTTTCTTCAATGTAATGAGAGAACAATCCATTTGGATCAGCCCGATCCTCAGGTGAGGAATATTTGTTACCTTTCATAATGAGCATCTCCGAATGCTTAAACAAAGCATTTACCCAAGAATTAATAGAAACTGAATTTCCATTACAGACCTTCTGTAAGGTTTCAGAGACGAACTCAAGTTCATTCATATCACCTTTCTCTTTGATAATTTCCCAGAATTGAAATAATCCTTCTTCATTTTCAGGGAATTCTTTAATAATAGTCTTAATTTCTTGGATGGATTTCCTCTTGTCCCTAAATTCTTCTTAAAATACACCTACAGAAGGATCTTTTTGTAGTAATCTGACTTAAGGATTCTCACAGTAATTGGATCAAGCTCTTGAATATTATTAAGCTCCATGATAATTTCATCGTCTTCTGTGAACTCTAAAGAAGTTAATAAGCTGTTCTTACGGCCGTAGCTCTTGGTTTTATACTCTTTTAAGATCTTTTTACAAGATTCAACACTAAAGTTGTACCAAGGTGACTTACATCATAGTGAAATCCTGGTATTCATCAAAGAAGGAGTCTAAAATTGCCAAATAGGATCTTTACCGATTTCTAAAATTTTAACCCTTTCCTTCTTCGTCTTCTTAAATTCCTTATTTGCTTTAACAAAGAAGGGGTATCATTTGCCTGGTCTACCTCAAGCATAGTAAAATTTTCCCAAATAAAAGCTAGAGGATTAGTAAAATGTGTACTTTATGTAAGGACTCCTCTCTTTGACTCAAACTCTTTTACACTCTTGTAGGCATCCGATACCTGATCCGTAGTAGGAGCTCTGCTCGCTCATGATGACATATTTCGCGTAATAGTAGAGAAAGACTGGGTAAACAGGGTACCTTTTGTACTCCATCTGGAGTAATTCGAAGCATTGGATGTACTCGCATGAAAAATATAAGATTTTAGAGTACACTAGGCTGATGAGAATTCTATGGTTAAGAGTTCAGCTTACTTTGTCTCAAGCATATGGAAGTTTGTGCAATGGAGGAACATAGCCTCTGCTGTCTCAAAAGCTTCATCTGAGTCTGGATTGTATAATTGGCATAGTTTAAAGTAAGCTTCAGGGATTTGAGGGTGGAACTCTACTAATTCTTCGAGTACTTCAATTGCAAACTTCTTTTTGTCTTTGTATAAGTATATTTCTGTCCATGCTAAGTAACCTTTGTAGTTGTTTATTTCCTTAATAAACACAGCAATATCTTCAGGGGAATATTTTGGTGCGTATTTATTTTTCAGAAAATTGACTCATTCCAGATAGAGTCGCAAATAAGAGAATGAATAGAGCATTTGTGTCTTGAGACTGTGACTCTAAGCATTCTGTTCAGTAAATCTCAATGTTGTGTAATATCTTTAATTTATTTCTGGCTACTTTTAGTAGTTTGTAACATATACAATAAAGCCATTGCAGCCCATAATCAGTATACAGGGTCTCTCTTTGGACCTTGGAGTGATAGTTCAAACATCCCTAGTGCTTTATCAATGAGATTCTTTGAAAAATAGATTTTCCCAAGCCCAAAATAAGCCTCTGGGCAGTAAGAATATCTATCTGCCATGTCTTCGAATAAATATTCTCATTCCTTGAGTTCGTAATCACAGGTAATATGCATGTTGTATTTCTTCTCGACTCCTAATAATAACAGTTGAAGGATAATGTCGTTAGCAGAGTTTCAGATTTGGTGATCTTCAACATTCTCTCCTCCGTCTCTCTCATTAGCATGCATCCCAATTCCATGGGAAAGATTGTAGTATTCAACAATGGCTGAACTTCTCGGATCGTTACTGTGTTTCATGTGCTGAGGCTTTGCCAAATTTCTGAAATTACTAATCACAGATCTGTTGTCAGTTGGCCTAGATATTTCTTGAGTGTTCTTACCTCATTTCATTTCTGTCATTGGCCTCTCCTAAAATTTTGTACCATTCGTTATCTATTTCATCTCCGATAGTGACATCTCCCTTGGAAATTTGAGAATATTCTTTGTGAAAATGAACTGGGCGAGGATAATCCCTCGCTGACTTTGGCTCATATTTGCTCGGTTTAGATGAATGAATTATAGCTTTATTTATATCTATAGGTTTAAAGTTACAGTTTACTTTTAATAGGTAGCACTGGCTTGCTGATAATTTCTTCTTTAGAAGCAATGCTACCAAAGTTAGGAGCATTGGAACTTTGTCTCCTATGTCCTGGTTTGCTCTTTGAGGGAGGCTCTTCAATAATATCAGTTAAAGATTTCTCATTAGAAACCCTATTTGCAGCAAAAACAGATATGTCATACTTCTCAGAGGGAGTTTTTGTAAAAGAGTCTGGTTGTACATTCCTACTCTCCTCTCCGCTCTTCTGTTCCTCAACATCGGTACTATCCTGTTGCTTCTTATCCTTCGCAAAATTAGGTGAACTATGAACATACGACTTCGACTCTTCAGACTTTTTATTGAATGTCAACGAACTCTCCGATGATCTAAAGATCATCCATGTCCTTACTTATACCCCTTACTATTCTTCTTAAAGATATTCTTAAATTTCTTTTTGAGTGTCCCTTCCTTTCTCCTCTCTTGATTCTCACTAAAATTCCCAAAACATGCTTACTCATCTACCATCTTCAGACTCATTCTTTCCTTCATTATCTTAGGATCCTGAAAACTTTTATTAGTCTCTTGTAAATTTGAGTAATCCAGAAGATCGTCTTGATTAGACGGGTCATCTTCTTTCTGCTCAAGAAGAAGATCTTGGTTCCCATAATCTATGTTGTAATCATCCCCATCGTTCATGATCAGTTGGTTATATGGAATAGCACAGTGAGGAGATTGGTCTTCATTCTTTCCAAGATTCTTTCTCTCCTTTTTCTATGAAGCTAAAAGGGACAATTTACCTTTTCATCTTCTCCAAATCCACCTGTTCTTCTTCTACCGACTTTAGTTTTGTCTGGGTGCGGACTATCCTTCTCTTTCTTATTTAAATATGTTCCTTTTTGGCTTTTCTTCTAAACAGGGATTAGAAAGTATAAGGATATTAGAACATGTTGCCACCAAATTATATGGTAGAGATGTATCATAGTTTATGAACCCATTTTTAGGCACTCACTTTGACTTGAATCTTCTTTTTCTCCTCCCTCTTCACCATCCTTTCTGGATAGAAGAAACTCTACAACATAACTACAAAATTTACCTTGGTCAATTGTAAAATCCAAGAAGGAGTTTTTACCGTCAATATGAGACTCATTAAAATCCAAAAACGACTTCTTCTCTGCAAAAATATTACGATTTCTCATTTCATTCATCTTCGAGTAAATCTTATTATCCAAATTATGCCCAAGATAGCTTGCATCCGAGATACTCATCATCGACATCTGCATTCAATCCAAGGACTGCTTCTCCTCCCCTCTCTCTCCTTCATCCACCCCTATACCCACAATCACCCCTACTCCCCACACCCACTCACCTTCTTCCATCACTTCCTCCTCAGTCCCATTCTCTACTAAATCCTTTACTGAAAAATCTCTTCTGAGTCCCTTATTCTCCTCTACTTCCTTCTGCTGGTCGGCTTCTAAACCTGTATGGGTTTCCATTGTTAATCTTTATTATTCTATAGCATCTGGATTACTCGGGGTTTTGGGGTTTTGGGGTTTTGGGGTTTTGGGGTTTTGGGG